AGCACCTACAACCAGGCACCGCAGGCCCTAGGCCGCTAGAAGCAAGGAGCCGGTGCCTACGCCGCTTCAGTCCGGTATTAAAGCCTGAAAGGAAAAAGTGGGATCAGTCATAGTGTTTAACGAAGTATCATTTCTAGTTTGCATGTGAGGAGGAGTATCACACTTCTTGTACAATATGAATCATAATGTTATCCTCATAGAAAAAATACATCGAGTGCGTAGTATTTTAGAAATGTGCATATTTCTTCAGATGGGTCAATGGCAAGTCCTTGTAAGTCACTCATGTGCTTGTACTTTTAAGTGTTTGTCCGTTCTTCATTTAATTTTTTGACAGAAGCTCTTTAGATTATTGTTATGATGTTAGTACTTCCTTTTAGGTGATGATCGCCGAACGCATCCATCACAGCAGTGAAAACTATGTGGCAATACTAATGGACCGTGAAGAAAGCAGTCCGGTCATTGTCGTGAGTCCGGTTGGTGGAGTAAACATCGAAGAAACGGCAAAGAGTTCACCGCACCTAATTTTTACGGTATCTTTGACGTCGTGCCAAACCACCAAAGTGTTGAAACCACCGTTACACTATTCATGAGCAGCGGCGTTTATGGTTAAATTCGAACGTAAGCGTTTCTGATCCTTTACGGCCAATTTCCCTATGCCAAACGTTCCCAAACCGGACTTGGCGAAGTTGCTCGCTCATTTACATAGTCTAGCATATGAACCCACATTTTTGATGTTTTACCAGAATTTTGAATACCTGTTTCTGAGACTATTGGTATTATACATCAAGTATTGCTCCAGCTAATAAACTGTCGTGGAATGTATTGATGCACTGCAGGTAATGAAGTACCATGACCTGCTTAAATGTCACCTCACGCATCTAAGACTCACGCATCTAAGTACCATAACTCCGCGAAATCCTGTTTTGTACTGTTATGCATCTAATACTCAAAGCAGTTTGAAAATGTGCCTGTTGTTCGATTCGAGCGTTACTTCAGCTTTTATTTCATTTTCAAAATGCCTCCTGAGCTGAAAGCCATAGATTCTGTTTGTGGGAGAGTATTAGACCGACCCCAACTATTAAAATATAGTACGCTGTTAATTGAATATTTTTTGAGGCGAGAAGACGAAGGAACAACGAACTGAAGTCCAAACGCAGTTACTCTGCTTGCAGGCATTTGTCAGATTGCTTCTGAAATCATACAGCTCAGCAATGTCGTTCATCAGTTAGCTCTCGTAGACTAAGAAATGATTTGTAGACTATACCTCTCCCGCTGCAGCAAAGGCGACAAAAGTCCGCACGTTGCCTCATTAGTTTTACTGAAGCAAATTTGTGTCCTCGTTTGTCATAGCTTCAGCCCTTTGCTCTCAGTGTCGGTTGGACAGGGTGGACTCAGTTGTATTCAACGTGCTGTATTTTCTAATTCTTTTGTCGTTACCTGCCTTCTGCGACAATAACATGGTGTTGAACCTGATTAATCCAAATGAAACTCATTTACACGGTACATTTTCACAGTGTAAATCTGGTGTCAATATTTGAAATGTCACATTTACCAACTATATTGAAAGCTCCCACTTGTGGAAGCTACCGCGAACATGGGGTCATATTTTATTCCATTTTTTAAAAGGATTATATTCTAGTACTTTTGGTTCTAGAACCCGAAATGTTACGGGTTTTATACTAGTTCTATTTCATTTCATAAGTAATAGGATTGTTAGAGCAAATTCGTTCTTCCATATGTTCCATATGTCCCATGTTCTAGAACTAGGTCACTGTCAAAAAGGCTATTAAGGATTTCATTGCGATTGTTTACAGTTGGTTTGTGGAACCTGTTTGCAGAACCTCCTTTGCAGCATCGCGATAACTCAGGCAGCCTGTTTTAACAGCTGAATAATCCTGAAGATGCGGAATTCCACTTCTGCCTGAGAAAAAAGTTTTACCTTTTGAGTGCTGTACACTCTACCTGATATAATAATGTCAGTGTATATTCTGTGGTTCTCGACTTTGGGTGTTTAGGCATTCACGTTACTAACAATGTTAATTTAGTGATTTACAGGAAGTGATCGATATCCAGGCTGGCCTTACAGAGCAGCAGGCGCTAACGATTGCTCAAAAACTTAACTTTAAGGACAAGATTGCGAAACAGGTAGAGTTATTTTTCCCTTCCTCATTTTCCCATTGTTTTCACGTCTGATAATTCGTTATTTGATTTCTCGACCTTTCTACAGGTGGCAGAACAGCTGCAACGTCTGTATCGTATGTTCATCGACGTGGACGCGACGCAGATCGAGATAAACCCTCTGGCGATTACTACAGACGGAAGGGGTATAGCATAGTTCAGTTTTACCTCTATGTTCTGTTACGCTGATTAAGCTGCAGTGTGTTGCGTTGATGCGAAGTTGAACTTTGACGACAGCGCCGAATTTCGTCAGCAGAGGATCTTCGCCATGCACAGCGCGGAAACTCAGCCACTCGAGCACGAAGCACACAAGCATCAGTTGAACTACGTTGGGCTTTCGGGTAACATCGGCTGCATGGTCAACGGTGCCGGCCTAGCGATGGCCACTATGGATATGATCAAGATGTATGGCGGAGAGCCAGCCAATTTCCTCGATCTTCGCGGTTCGGTCACCACGTTACAAGTTTTCCATGCCTTGGGAATTATCGTCTCTGATTCAAAGGTAACACTTCCTTGTGTTTATTTCTTCTTATGCCTGATTTTGACTACATCCGTCTATCAGGCTGTACTTAAATTCAGCCTCTTATCCACACATTAGCTTCCTGGAATTAGGATTGCAGTACCGGCGGTGGTGTGTTCCTTTCAGTTCCTGTGATATTAATTCACAAATGCCTTTCATTAAACCCTGAAATGTCTGTTGAATGAGGCAGCGGCAAACCGTCGTCAGCGGATTTCTTCAAGTCTATTATGTATGTCCGAGAAATTCCTCCTGCTGCTTTCATTGTGGGAAAATATGTGCAGTAGCTATCGCTCATACCTTCCGCATTTGTAATCTGATTGTTCCTTTCCTAAACCGGACTGCCTGGAAAACCATTAGGAAGAATATCAACCTCAGTTATCACTGCCTCGTTAGCCTGAGTTTCAAGATTTTTGGAAGGTCTTCATGATGGCTTTCTTAGCATGTTAGAAGTTTGTGCTCAACAGTGTTTCGTGCTTCATATTTCAAATACTGATACAGGATTTATACGGCGAAAATATTCCTTGTAAAGAAAATAAAATTTATTTCGTACTTTACGCTTACACTGCCGTAGCTTAAGAAATATGCAAGTTTTACACCGGATTGTACCGCAAGATTGCACCGACCCTTTGCTTCGAGTCGCGTAGGGGGGAGCCATTTAAGCTGGCCACGGTTCCATGGTGTCCAGTGTATAGGACGTACGGCAGTATTTCACACTGAGTATAATTTTGTAAGTGACTTGTCTGGAATGGTAAGGAGGTTGGGAGAAACACCTTTTTCTGAACCTTTTGAACATGCTAATGCTAAACGACATTGCAGGCACCTTATTAGTTCAAGAACGCAAATTAGTTAACAGGTTTAGTATAACCGTACGCGCCGTCCATCTGTTAGGTCGTAACGTCAATGGTAATGATGATCCGCGCACATCACATGTTTTAAGCAGTATGCAAGTTTGCACCGATGCTACAGATGATGATGCTAAATTAAAGCAATGCCTATTGTAATAATGATTATGACAACGGATGTGAATAAGATTTTGATAGCATATATGCATATATCGTGTATGTATATACGCTATCAAATTCTTATTCACGTCCGTTGTCATGATCATTATTACTATATATGCGTACGTCGGCGACACATGGACCGCAAACATCAGACGGCCGATCAAGACTAGAAAGCAAACACTGCACCATCATTCATGCGAGTCAACCAGACCCGAATGAAAACATTACGTGCCTTTTGTCATTGTACTTTGAAGATGAGTCGAACTTAGTCCGAAACGTCAGATATCCCTAATTGAAATCAATTTGTGTTGTCTTCCCGTTTGTGACTTACCAAAAGATTATATCACCTCCCGCATGTATATAAATATAAAATATGTTATATGATAATGGTAAATGTTCTTTAATTGAAGAGCGCATAAAATGTTCTTTAATTAGAGACATCTGACGTTTCGAATCAAGTTCGGTCCGTCTTCAGAGTTCTGGCTCTTCTGGCGATTGTCATGATTGACATTTTCACAGGAGTGTGTGATTGATGCCTCACTGATGCGTCGATTCAGTCAGTTTCTCTCTC